GTTTTTTTCTGCGAAGCTCTAGCTCCATCAGGGGCCAAACGAGGGGGGGTCGTACCAACCAACCTTGTGCCGTCGAAGGACTCAAAATGGCCTGTGCCGGCGAGGGTTATATATACAGTTACACACTGTTTGTCTTATCAATCGCTGAAGTTATAAAGGGATCGTTCAGTCGGTATATCTATGGTGAGCATTTGCCTGTTCCGTGGCTCAGTTGGTAGAGCACCGGACTCCCCGCATTGTCTTCGCTTGCGTTTTGTCCGCCGGCCGAGCCGGAGAGAAAGTTACCGAGTGAAGGTCATTCAAAGTTCAAAAACTCAATGACAATGTCACTGGGGTCACGAAAATGTTTGAGTAGGTAGGTATAACATTCATTAACCTGGGGGGGGGGGGGGGGAGGGATGAACGTATCGTTGCAATACGCTGTTCATTACGCGAGTAACTAATAAATAAAAAATGTATGAGTTAATCCTTACTCCACACGCTCTCCCTCTCCATAAAAAAGAGAGTTAATTGTGTTGCATTTTATCTATATGCAGAAAAATAGAGGCGTCAAAGGATATGGCCGAATATCAGCGACCCTTGCTGTGTAAGCAATGGGGTATGACAAGTGGGGGTAATGGCCCCGTCCAGCGCCCATAAAGTGGGCACACTCGTGCGACCTGCCGACCACTGTTCTAGATAGAGCAGTGATGCCATCCACATTTTTGCTCCATCCCAAGATCTCGACCAGAATTTCCCAAGATTCTCGTCTCGAATCCCAAGACTACCCATCGCATATCCTTAGGTGTACCACAAGTAAATCCATAGATTATTTTGGACATATTAGTGTGTTTTATTCAGCTTTCTCTTCTTCGGGTCCACCCTTGTCCTTATTGGCGTCTTTACAGCAACTAATGTACATACATTGTACAGCCCTCTGCAGACTGCGTGGTAGGTATTCTTTTTTCGACAAAACCGAGAATAACGCGAATGCTATGCTATCGGGCACTCGGAAATCGTAACAGCAAGATGCGCGAGACTCCGCAGCTTAAATTGGCATTATCATCGTATGCATTTTCCATCCAGTTTGGCAACAAAACCCAAACGAACTTTTACATTTTGTTGCCACACAAGGCGCATGCTTTGTTTATTGATAGGCCCTATCGAAGGAGTGGAGCATGGCGCATCTATTTGCAGTGAGTTTCGGCCGACTGATAACATGACTTTTGAATTATTATCAGTTTTGTCGGAAAAAGAATATCTACCACGCAGTCTGCTGAGGGCTGTACCTAGAGGCCGGGGGGGAGGGGGAGGGGGTCGATCGGACTCCTACAGCTGATATTCCTGACCGAGTATAAGAGCTTCACGAAAAATGAAGATGCTGGCCTAGACAACATTAAGCCGGTGGTATCTGATTCTATGGTCAGGTCATTCGTCGACCGTCAATGGTGGGTCAAAGACCCAAAACACAAAGTCCGAATCTGTTAGAACTTCTTGGAAACGAAATCTGTGGCATTTTGGATTTATTTCGAAATTTGTCTGACACATTTGGAGAAGCTAGGGTCAAGTGAGGTCAGGCTGTTTTTAAGTGTCTTTCACCACTGACAGTTTTGAAATAGGGGCTCCAAAACAAGCTCTTAATAAGCTTATGTAAATCCCGAAATCGAAAAGCCTATGCTGTGAATCTGCGTGTAAGCCAGTGCCCGCTGGGGCCCATGGATTTTCAAGCCGACGATGGCGAGGGGGTCTAAACGAGGACCTAACTCGTCCCCTGGACTATATAGCTACAAGACGTCAGCAGTGTTGTGAAGGTCGCAACTCGCAAGGTTACGCTTTGATTATTTTTGGTCCAGCAGAGCCCAGAGGTCAGGTGACCAGGCACTTTTCCGAGGTCAAAAAATTGCCCTTATTTTGGTTCGCGGTCAAAGGATAAGCCTCCATAGAGCAAAACCGTAAAATGAAGCGCTTTGTGCGGGAGCCGCTTTCTGAAATATTTTTTGGACATAATGTTTGTAAAAGCTTTTCATAGCCACCCAACATCATGCCGCCAAACCACCCATCCCCGTTGATTGGTAGAGTTGGAAATTAAACAAATGAGCGCCAGTTGCGAACAGCAGCGACTGAAAGCTGCTACTATACCCATAACAAGTAATGGTACAAAAATAATCCTGCGATCTCGGGAAGAGAATGCCTGCAAGAAACATCGCAAGCTTCGTCCGTTACCTACTTCAATATGTTTGAATGCTATTAACCTCCGTGAGGCAAATCCATCCTAAATTTATTATCGACCAAGGAGAAAAAACATTCGACAGCATGAGAAGACAAAGTGAAATCAGCTTCTGCCAGATCCCAAGATATGCAGTGCAAATCACAAGATCCCAATGTTAATGTTCAAATCCCAAGATCTTGGGACAAATCCCAAGGAATGGCATCGCTGAGATAGAGCCATAAAACGCCGTGAATATTTTAAGCTTGACGATACGAATCGACTGGTATGTAACATGTTTACCTCGGGTAAAATTTTAAAATTACTTTTTGTTAGGTCAAATTATAGTTCATTTATCGCATTATGATGAGAGAAATACTATATCCCGGAAAAATAAACGTAATACCGCTGAGCTTAGGTTGAATCTGAAATCATTACTTAGGAAGAGTTATAAAAGAACCGACGAACGTGTCTTTTTTGGTCATTAAATATCAGTAGGTATGCCGCCCCCTCAGATGCCAAGTGCCGCCCCTATGAGTGCAAAATGCCGCCCCTAATTGTGATTGCCGACCCAGTGAAAATCCCTTAAAATACGCCCTGGGAAGAAAGCATGTAAGTGAAAAATCCACCTCTTTCACTGGCTCGGCAACTCATTGGCAGATTAAAACCTTTATTCCAGGTTGCCAAAACGGCAGTTTCTTCACTCAGCTGAGACGGAATACCTCACTTTTTTGCAAATATTTCAGTTTTTTTCGTTGAAAAGGCCAAGGTCTGAAAAATAAGTGGCCTAAAACCAGTGAGAAAACTGGATTTGGGGGTACCCTAGGTTGATCTCTATTATTGGTTGAGCCCCCCCCCCCCCCCCCCCCAGTCTTGAAGAAGTTCCTGCGCCACTGCACACAGCCGCTATCCGGGTTCAGAAGTGGCCAATACCCTAATTTTCGACAAATTTTAAAGCGTGATTTTCTCACATTTTCTGGTCGTAAATTGATCAGGCTGTATAAAATATCATCCAGAAAAAATATTACTCATTCTGGCACAGATTGGTGGGCTCCCAAAGTACACCGTTTTGTTTTGCTCCGTGAGACCGAACTTGTGCTGCGATTTTCATGTAAATGTTGACGAGTCTCCTGTCATATTCTTTGCTTGAAAATGCGTAAGTAAGATATCAGCTGAAAGGGGAAAATGTGCGGAATCCATTGGTAACAAAAGTGCATCTAAAAAACTTCCCACTCAGTTATTGTAAGCTAATTATTGCACACTTGCACAAAGCAGAAGGGCTTGAGGATTTCAATATTTACACAGGGGTGGAGAATTGTGCCGAGTTGGGGTAGCACGAGCCTTCCCAATTCCACGCCGGCTGCGCCGGCTTGGCTTTGGAGCCGCACCAGACGGCGGAGGTCAAGGTCACCGCCAGGGCGGCGGTGGATTTGCTGCGCCCGTGCAACCCCAACTCGGCATATTTCTCCACCCCTGTATTTACATAGGCCTACCAAAAAACGCACAGCGTGCTTCACATCGAGACAACGTCCATAACATATACCGTACAATTGTGATTCATTTGCTGAAAAAAAATAAGGTCGGCATCACACTGCCGGCAAAAGTTATTGCAGTTCTACTGACGCCAGGTCGCCGACCGGCCGGCCCCGGTCAGGTCGGCCGGGCGGCGGCCGTGCAGCTGACATCCGTGCGGTTCGGCAGCTGACCAATCAGCTGCGAGAGAGGAGCGCGGTCCGTCTAATCGCCCCCGGCAGTTGCTTGTGCTGAGGGGTGCTCGACGCTCGTGTCGATTGCATTTGTTGGTTGTCAATTGTCGATTGACTTGTGAGTATACTTTCTGGTGACCAATAAATGTACGTCGTCTTAACTGAATGTAGTCTGATCAAATTCAATAAAGCAAAAAGACATCCAGCCAACAGAACATCGTAAGAATGTCCGATATGGTTGATAGCATTCAGAGTTTTTGGGAGCAGCCATCGACCAGAATGAACCTTATTGGCTTTTGTATGTAACCTTTGCATTGCTTTTGGAAAGTTTCAGTCAGATATCTTCAGAAATGGTAATGTTATCGGCTTTTGCATTTTACCGTAGTCGGTTAATCACAATTTTCGATATTGCAAAGGCAATTTCAGTACGTTCTTGACATCGAAAACCAAAACGAATAGCATCATCGTGTTCCAGAGCTCAAATTGCATCCGATGCACATCTTTTTTGTTGAGAATGCTCAACTTTAAAATTTGACCTTTTTGACCTCGCCGTGACCTGACCATCATTTGTCGAATGGAAATAGTTTCGAATCAGACGACCCAGATGACATCATTTTTAGATGCTTTTGCCGAAATGGACCATTAAAGATGTGTCGCATGACCTTAAAAATGTATACATTTTCCTTCCATGGCCTTTTCCATGACCTTTTGTGACAAAGTTAGGTTTCGCTTGTCAGCTATTCCTATCAGAAGCCGTTTGAACTTTAAGTATTGAACGAGTAGTTTCGAAGACAGCAGGGGAGCTATGCAGAATCCCCTCCCGAGTTACCCACGTTATGGGATATACCTACCCGTCATCCGCGGATTACAAGCAAAAATATTTTTTTACGGCAATGATGTATCAGCATGGATGCTCATACGTTCCCATATGTGACCTTACGGTTGACTTCATATACAATAAAAATTCCTTGGCAAAATGTCAACTGGTTAACGAGTTATCGCATTTTGGCCACTTCCGAACTCAAATAGCGGCTGTGTGCACTGGATCTATGTCCTCTATCATTTTCACGTTTCTATGTAACTGCCTTGTCAATGAAATGAAAACAGGGTTGCTAATTTTTCATGTTTATTAACACACCATAAAACAACAACTGACACCGTAAAACATGGATAAACATAAAACTCTTCATCAAACATCTAGTAGTACTACCTTCCTTAAAAATTAGGAGTTTGTTTCCATATAGACACACAAGTCAATAAATATGTAAATGGGATTATGTAAATATCACAGGTCATGACGGGACGAGCCGTCGAGCTGAGGGACGTCACACAAAACATGGATATCGACCGCAACTTCAACAGCTTCGGATATCGACCTATATGGACATATCTGTCATACCAACAGTATTGGCCATGCCATACATATCTACCATACATCACAAACATTATCGACCGTACCATGGACATGTCTACCATACCAACAGTATCGACCGTACCATGGACATATCTGCCTACCATACCAACAGTATCGACCGTACCATGGACATGTCTACCATACCAACAATATCGACCGTACCATGGACATTCTGCCTACCATACCAACAATATCGACCGTACCATGGACATTCTGCCTACCATACCAACAATATCGACCGTACCATGGACATTCTGCCTACCATACCAACAATATCGACCGTACAATAAACATATGTCATACCAACAGCTCCGGGCATCGAACGTACTATAAATATCTGTCATACTAACAGCGCTGCCAGCAAAAAAAGAGCAAATGAGCACACTATAACATCTAAACAATATGTGCAATTGCAGTGCAGAGCGGCAGGGAGGAGGCGGAGCACCACAATGGAGCCGGCCGGAATCTGGGAGGCACCTGACGGGCCGTCCCGGGGCGCAGGGCTGGCTCTAACCGGGCAGCCACCTAGTGGACAGACCGAGGCACGCGGACACCACAGCCGCACAGCGCATCACCGGCACTGCCAGCCCCTGGCGCACGAGAACGACTAGGAAAACGGCATACAGATTACAGTGATAGATGGTGCCCGGCTGAGGAGCCGGCTGCGACCGGGACGGCCAGGCCCTGCAGGCGGCACGGTTTGAGCGACGAATGACCAAGCAGATACCTATGCCAATCGGATACAAACTTTTTTGCTATACTGATACCAACTTGATTTTTGATATTTCATTTTCAATCCTAGTCTTTTGGCATTTTGGTGGTATAAAACTTCTAATTTGTAAGACTTAAGTTAAACATTACACTCAAATTTTCAAGCTGGTTCTGTTTTGGGTGTTGTCATATGGTTTTTGGTGCTATTTAATTAGGTATTAGTGTCCCAATTATCTGTAATTGCCACCACTGTGGCCGAAAACAGCAGCCGCTGCATTGGCACCGCGACTTTCAAGAGCAACCAGACCACACAGAGGTAGGTGAACGAGACAAGTGAATGTAGGATCGTGCAGTCGAATAGGTCATCTAAAGCTAAATGCGTCACAACACTTAGCTACAGAAAGCGGTATGCACCGACACGACGTGGCCAAACGATGGCATCTGGTAGCCAGACTGTGACGCTGCTGCCCGGTCTCAGCACAGTCGAGCCGGCTAGCTGCTGCCCGGTCTCAGCACAGTCGAGCCGGCTAGCTGTTCCCCGGTCTCAGCACAGCCGAGCCGGCTAGCTGTTCCTCCTGAGAAGCTCCTGCAGCGCCGAAATGTAGGTCTGCGCCATCTGGAGCGTCTCAAACTTGGAGAGCTTCTTGTCGCTGCCCAGACAGGGCACCACTTCCCTGAGGCGCTCGAAGGCGTCGTTGAGGCCGTTCATCCTGCGCCGCTCGCGGGCGTTGGCGGCCGTGCGCCGGCGCCGCACCACCTCCGTGCTGGGCGGCTGGTGGCTGCGCCGGCGGCCGGCCCGGCGCCGCTCGGGCGCCTCGGCACGTGCCGGCCCGCCGTACGCGCCGGCCGCCGTGTACTCGGAGTAGTAGCCCTCCTCGATGTAGCCTTCAGAGAAGCCGTCCGGGTACCCGTCAGCGAACCGCTCCGGAAGCCGATCCGCGCCGAAGAAGGAGCCCTCGGAGTCGGAGCCGGCCAGCAGAGGCGGCTTCTGGTTGGCCTGACCGGCAAACGGCGCCACCGGGGGGCCGCCGGCCGGCGCCGCCGGGTAACCGGTGAGCTGCAGAGGCGGGACGCACCCGAACGCCGCCGCCGGCGACAGCTCGTAGACGGACATGGCCGGGGCACTGGGAGCCGCACCCGCCCAGCGCTGCAGAGCCGGAGGGTGCGCCCGTGCCGGTGTTTCAGCTGGTGCTGCCGTCCGGCAGACGCTGCTGGCGAGCAACCCGCAGGTGCCTCCGTGCCTGGTCGGCCCGCTGGTAACACTGAGCGCCGGCCGCCTGCCAGCTGCCGGCCGCCGCCTCCTCAATGGCTCCGTCACGTGACCGTCGAGTCAGCCAATCCGATTGGCCGGTGGGCGCCTGCGGGCCTGTCAGAAGCTGCCACTGCTGTATCAGCTGCTGGCTGGGACCGGACCGCCGACGGTCCACCAACACACACCGCTGCAATTATTCGCTGGAAGTCCTAGTTCCGACTCTTGAAACCTGTTCTTTTTGTTATCTTTCTACACCTTTTTAGGCGCAAATTAATCTAACTGAAGACCAAATTAAAACAAGTGAAATCCAATTTAAGACAAGTGAAGCCCATATTAAAACAGTTGAGATCCAAATTAATCTTTGTGAAATGCATTTTAAAACAATTGAAATGCAGTTTAAAACGCTTGAAAGACCGCAGAATATACGAACTGCAGAAAGCTATTAGTGTCGCAAATGATTGATTGCCAATGAGTGATCAATTTGCTTATGATTTCAAGAAGAAAATGTAAAATCAAATACCAAATGACATCGTCTTTATTTGTATTCTTTCCAGGACGAAGACAAAAACCCTGACCGGGCAGGAGGTAATATCGCTGTGGGAAACCAGTGCCATCGTATATTGGTACGGTACAAACATCACTGATCATGCTCAATACCAATAAATGTCGGTGTAATTCATTGACAAGTGCGCTGTTTACATTCTTACGGTAATTCATGGGCGATGCTGGCCCCCGGTGCGGCACATTGGAGCGGCCGCGGAAAACCTGGCACCGTGACCGCCTCCCCCGGCCGCACCCGGTAGTTCTCGTTCCATGCAATCCGATAATCATTGCACTACGAGTGTAGCGCTCACACGCCCATCGCCAAGTCCATGAGTGCCAGACACCCAGCGAAGTGCCTTTGGACGTGATTGCAAGCGTGCATGCACATGATGGGTGTGATGCGAGGCATGGCGGCATCAATGTTGCGCTCGAGATATCGAAGCCGGTGCTCGGTCTGTGAGATCCCCGTCTCTGGCGTCATCATCTCCTGAAAGCTGGCTGTCATGCTGTTCTTCATCGCCGCCTTCATCGCCGACCAGCACTCCTCAATGGGGTTAAGGGGTGCGCTGTAGGGAGCGGTGCGGAGGACTTGGACGCCCTCAAACTCTGGCTCCGCTTGGATGGCCTCCAGGTCGGTGTGGGCTGGCGCGTTGTCGCACACCACCACGACATTCTCCATCGGCTCTGGACAGTGTCGAAGAGCTCGCAGGAGCCATTCGCAGCCGGCCCCCGCCAAAGTTAGTTGGTAGCACTGCTGCTCCACGGCGTACATTTCCTACCAGCCCATAGGGTTTACATGTTAAATGGCCTGTTTTCGGCGAGCGATATCTCGGTCAACCTTTGAAGGAATCAATGGTTCTTCGCCTCAAATGATAGATCGATGAATTTTCTTTCGACAATTCCTCTAGCATTTTTCACGAAACCCAGCCGATCTTCTACGGCGTACAGGGTAAAGATTTCTCTGCACGCCAGCACCCGCGATCCGCCTCTCCGAGCGACGGCGCGCGGTCCGCGGTAGCGCAGTCGGTAGCGTATCGGGCTACGGATCCGAGGGTCGTGAGTTCGAATCCTGGGAGCGCCGCGTGATTTTGGCTAGAATTAAATGATGTAGATTCTTGAATGTTTGCATAATCAATTATTAATAGCTAATTGAATGTATCTGCCCACTAATCGGCCCCTTAAACCTTTTATTTAAGGAATTTAAGAAATGAATGTCACGTGCGCGTCACGACTGCCAACCATAAGCGCTACCATATGCTAGTTTGAACTAACTTTTTGCTAGTCCCGACCACATATAGTAGGTTTTCTAGTAGGTATACTAGAAATTCCTACCAAAGTTCGTCCTACCCTTCACTCAATATACCCTGATTCGCAGCAGTCCTCCTTGCGGAACGATCCGCGCCGCCGCTCCCAGTACACCATGCCCGTTTGGCTTATGGCACCGATGACATGGATGTTGTCGCCCTTACCTGTGGCGACCTTCACGCAGCACCGTTGGCCGCGGCGGGACCGTCCCTCTGAACGTCGGAGAAACAAATTTACATTTGTTTCGTCCATGTACAGGATCGTCTTGCCAGCACCAGTGGCGTCCATTACCTTTCGCACAAAGGTTTAGGTGGCTCTTCTGTCTTTATTTGTCGCACTGTTCATTGTTACCGGCTCGGGCAAGACCTTCTTAACCGTGTACATGCGACCACTCAGGTGCTTGTGAACAGTGTTAGTGGACAGCTGCACACCAGTCTCCTCGCGCAGTTTGTTCGCGATCTCCTTCAGAGTGAGCTGAGGGCTAGCTTCCACATAGCCCACTAAAGTGTCAATCATTGCCGCGTCCACCTTGCAGACCGTTGCGCCACCTCGCTTCCTTGGTGGCCCGTCACCGTCACCCTCGCCTCGCCGAATGTAGCCGTAAGCAGTCTTCACGGCAACTCCATTGGCAGTGGCGGCCTGCTTCCAGTCGCCGCCAGCTTTGAAGCAGTCTATAATCCGCTTCCGAGCATCACGTGGGACTCGGACGTAGTGCCCACGCCGGGTTCCTGGTTTGACTCCACGTCGATTCGGCGTGTTTGCCGGCGCTGGTTGGTCAACTTCCTGATCCGTGTCTTCTAAGACCTGAAAGTCACCCTCCATGATGCAATGCAATTGCATGGTACAGAAGTTATTGGCATTTACAGAAGAAATAAATATTACATAGACTATAAAGCCAACTTTTCACACCAATCTACATCAAGTGAGTGAAATAAGCAGGACTCAAAGGAGCCGTCGTCTTCAGCTCATAAAAAATGTCAGTAAAATTAGTTTTTTTTTCACGTGCAATTTAACTGTGCAAAAACATGCACCTTGTTTTAGTAAACCTCCGTTAGGCACATCAGTGCACCCACCTGTATAGGCATAGGTTAATTAAATATCTACTATTATAAATCTTAAAAAGTTCCACGCCGCCCACGTCGGGGTTACTCCCTAAAAGGCTTATTACGGCGCCGTCGATTGACGCAGGAAGGTGAAATTTTCACGACTCGTGGGTCACGTCATTCAACAGGTCGTATTAAATTTTGGGCACGATGCGGCCGGGGGTGCGCCCGTGGCACGTGCTCATGTGCGCCATAGGGTTAGCATTAGAATCGGCATAAACACTTATTAAACAGGCTATTGCTCGGAAACGGTGAGGGCTACGGGGGTGAAATTTTCATGCCAAGTCGAGCGCGTGCACTCATTTGTCGTATTAAATTTTCGACGGTGTGGGTTCAGCGGTGTGCACGTGGTGGGGCCGCGACCGGTGCCGAGCAGAAGGCACGTGCTTTAGGCTCAGTTGTTCGCTTAGAAAACTGAGTGAAAAGCATCAGAGCCAACGAAGGCCGACACAAGGCACCGCTCGCCAAGGGGATTCGCCAGTAAAAACAATTAATTTGTTTTTGCAATATCTCAGCCGTTTCTGGGCCGATTTAGCTGAAACTTGGACTGTCGGTGGTAGTGTAGTGTAGGGTAGGGTAGGGGATTGTAGGGTAGGGTTGGGTAGGGGATTGTAGGGTAGGGTAGGGCAAAGGGTAGGGTAGGGTAGGGGATTGTAGGGTAGGGTAGGGTAGGGTAGGGTAGAGTTAGGTAGGGTAGGGTAGGGTAGGGTAGGGTAGGGTAGGGTAGTGTAAGGGTAGGGTAGGGTAGGGTAGGGTAGGGTAGGGTAGGGTAGGATAGGGTAGGGTAGTGTAAGGGTAGGGTAGGGTAGGGTAGGGTGGGTTAGTGTAGGAGTAGGGTAGGGTAGGAGTAGGGTAGGAGTAGGGTAGGGTAGGGTAGGGAATGGTAGGGTAGGGTAGTGTAAGGGTAGGGTAGGGTAGGGTATGGTAGTGTAAAGGTAGGGTAGGGTATGGTAGGGTAGGGTAGGGTAGGGTAGGGTAGGAGTAGGGTAGGGTAGGGTAAGGTAGGGTGGGGTAGGGTAGGAGTAGGGTAGGGTAGGTAGGGTAGGGTAGGGTAGGTAGGGTAGGGTAGGGTAGTGGTAAGGTAGGGTAGGGTAGTGTAGTGTAGGGGTATGGTAGGGTAGGGTATGGTAGGGTAGGGTATGGTAGGGTAGGGTAGGGTAGGGTAGGGGTAGGGTAGGGTAGGGTAGGGTAGGGTTGCGTTCAGTAACATCTTAACTTACAAAGGGCTCGAAGAACTCGCATGCATCACCATCATACTTTACAGTTCAATTAAAAGCAGTTACCCACTTCTACAAAAATCATACCAATAAAAATGCAAGTTTCTACACCCAAACTAATGCATCCGTTAATCATACATATCAAAACATACAGTTATCGCGTAAACCTGTACCTCTACACCTTTTTAGGCGCAATTTCAAAAAGTTGAAGGTCAAATTCAAAAAGTTGAAGTTCAATTTCAAAAAGCCAAACACCAATTTCAAAAACCTTAAGTCCAATTTCAAATAAGTTAAGTCCATTTTCAAAAAAAATTAAGTCCAATTTCAAAAAGATAAAACACTATTTCAAATGATATGCTATGAACTATTACATTTAGTAACATTTAGTTTTTAGACCGTCATTTCCATGTAAACGATGGAAATGCAGCTTGCAAGTGAACATTTTAAATGACTCACAATAGCCAGGAGTATGTTGAGATAAACGGCTTCATACAAAAGAACGTGCAATATTAGAACGAATGCTATTGTTGATCGTAGTTTTACTCGTTTTTACTCTGGTTGCCTCAAATGTTCAAATGGTTGCTAACTTCGAATTCAGCTAAAAAAAAAACTAGCCTAGAAGCATGTAAAACCCAAAAAAGTGAACCGGGGTCACCAAAGGTAATGACCTGGCCTGACCTTCAAGTGACCTTGACATCTACCCTAATGCTTGGGAGCAGCATCAAATCACATGTTTGAACGTTTGAAACCACGGAAAGCTTGCAAACGCGCGGCTAATGCGAGCCGACATACGCCGAATAGCGATTCCGGCCAAACATGGTCTCGGAAAGTAGGTCACAGGTCAAAGGT